ATATATATAAAAAAAATAATGACACCATTATAATGACTCCCATGACCCAGGGTGCAGAAAACAAAATATAGCGTCCATTAACATGTTAAAAAAAAATATCAGTAATAATAATAAGGTCAATAATCATCTCTAGATCACTGTGCAACTCTAAAACTCTAAAATAACTCTAAAATTACTATATAATTTACAGAATTTAAGGACAATGTTTACCAAATTCAGATTTGCTCAGAAACAGCCCTGATGTGAGTCTAATGTTGGAGTATGTGAGGGGTCAAAGGTTAAACCCTAATCACCATCATTACCCCTCACAGGAGGAGGTCCCGAGCCACCCACTGATCTAACGACCTCAGAAGTGACCCATTACTCCTTCCGCGCCACCTGGGTTGCCCCTGATGGACCCGTGGAGAAGTACAGAATAGAGTATGTGAGCATCGCAGGAGGAGAACCACAAAAGGTATGAACACTTCACATGTTTGAAAAGCATCACAACTACTATTGCCCATTGTTAGGGTTATTAAACCCTAAGTATTAAACTTAAGTGTGCGATTCATTTAAAACTATTTACGCACTGCACATTAACAGCAAGAAAGAGCAAAGAAAGACAAAGTGTGGCTTGAGGCATTTCATGCTGAGCCAAAACTAGATTTCTTCAGAAGTCTGGAAGTCCGGAAACAGTCTGGAAAGTCTAACTTTGATTTGACCTAGAAGTGATTCATTTTGTTTTCTTTGCAAACACAGTCATGTCCTATACTTGTGAGTTCTCACTTTAATTCTGTTCGTCTGTTGCAGTTGCTTGTCGACGGGACGGTGACGACTGTGGTCTTGGAGAATCTCACTCCGCTGACGGAGTACATCGTGAAGGTTCACTCAGTGGTGGGAGAGGACAGCAGCGACCCCCTCAAAGGCTCAGAGACGACATGTAAGTGAGCATTTACCCACAATTCACTCATCACCAGAACAGCCAGAGCCAATTCCTCAACAATATGTATCTGAACACCAAAAAAAAATCATTTTTTATTTGCACATTTGATAAATGCAATTGTTTTAGAAGTACATACATGAGGATATGGTTCTGCACTTCTCTATACAATGGTAATACAGTTTATTGCATTGTAATACTTTGTTTTTTGGACATTTTACATGGTAATGCTATGATATTCTTAAAAATTCCTTGGAGTACCATGGAAATACCATGGTATTTGAGGACAGCAATCATTCAATACCAGTGATATTACAGTCTGACCACCACGGTACTGCCACAATACAGAGTTAGACACTTTTGTAAGTATTGTATCATACAATACATGGGTGAATCTCACAAAAACATGTCTAATTAAAAAAAAAAAAAATAATAAATTAATTAACATTTTTATTCAGCAAGGATGCATTAATTGATCAAAAGTTACAGTAAAGACATTTATAATGTTACAGAAGATTTCTATGCCCAATAAATGCTGTTCTTTTGACATTTCTATTTATCAAAGAATCCTGAAGAATAAAATGTGTCAGTTTCTACAAAAATATGAAGCAGCACAACCGTTTACAACATTGATAATAATTGGAAATGTTTCTTGAGCAAAAAATCACAATTTCTGAAGGATCATGTGACACTGAAGACTGGCTAAACAGCTCAAATCTGTCAACAACTATGACATACTGTAGCAGAAAGAGGAAATGGAAAGCATTTTTGGAGATATTGTAGATACCACAGGTGGTAGGTCTACATTTATTGGGTTCAAAAACGTCCTTTATATTACAGTGTTTGTAAAATAACAGCTCATTAGTGCTTTGGGGTTTGTTAGCACAGTTCCTCTTTGCAAGTATTTCACAAAGTGAGAAGATCCAGAGGTCTCGACTTCAGTTCTGGCTTGAATCTGATGTCCACAGGGTTTGTCTGACAGAGCAGATGTTTCAATATTGTTCCTCCATTTTTTCATTAGAAAATAAAAGAATATGCTTAGAGTTTTTGTTATAGTTGGTAGATACTGTCATAATGTCTTCACTGCAAAAAATATTTTCTTCTTCTTCTTTTTTTCTTACTCTTTTTGTCTTATTTTTTTGCCTTATTTTCCAGTTCGATCTATCTAAACATTCTTGAGAAGCAAAATTAAGCCTTGTTTTCTGAAAAAATGTCTCAAAATGAAGTGGGTTTATGCTTAAAACAAGAACAAATGTCTGCCAACAGGGTAGGAAATTTATTTGTCCTTGTTTTAAACAAAAATTAAATTTATACAGGTAATATAATAGGTAGTAAGTAAAATATCTTGATTTAGGAATGTTTAGATATGTGTTCTGGAAAACGAAACAAAAATAATTTTTGCACTGGGATTCAGAATTTAATATCTCAGTCAAGACAAGACTAAAATCATAATTTCTACCATTATATATAAATCTAAAGGATTTATAGATATTTTAAAGGTATTTGTGCTAAAACTGTCCTGCTAAAAAGACCAGCAAATGTTGTTTTGGATACTAATCCCCTGCATTTCTGCCCCCTTTTTCTTAAATAGCTTAACATCAACATCCCATCAAAATGAACCCTATTTACTTTTTGGCCATGATTCTTCATGGTATTCTAAACTTTTTTACTCTTGTTACAAATGTAACTCTCTTATTCTCTGTGGCCGTGAGAACTTTGTTCAGCCTAGTGTTATTTTAGCATTAGTATTTATTTGTTTGTTTGTTTGTAAGAGTTTTACTTATAGTTAATGTAATAACTCTGGTTCAGCATCCATATCATTCATAAACTATCTTAGAAATTCAAGCTGGCCCAACCTGGTCTTTTCAGCAGTGGCGTAAAAAAACATTCCATTATGTTCCCTTGAACAAGTCCACCATCCCTTTCATTTGTGATGTGGTTGACTTTCACAGATGCGTGTGAAAGGAACAGTTACTGACGTCCAGCTGAAGAAACTTCGTCCCAACACGGCCTTCAGAGTTTCCGTCTTCGCCCTGTTCGGCGATTTTGCCAGTGAACCTCTCTCTGATCGGGGGGTGACCCGTAGGTGGCACTAGGGCTTTCTTCCCCTCAGCAGGGATGTTTAGCACATCTATCTGATTCTCATCGTTTTTTTTTTCGTTTTTTTTTCTATATCTCTCCCTTATCTGTAGTGCCTATTCCTCCGTCCGGTGAGTTGAGGATCACAGACGTTACCCACAGCACCATGCAGCTGGACTGGGATCCATCGCCCGGTGCCGTTCGTAAATACATAATCACTTACAAGCCAGAGGATGGAGAGTCGAAGGAGGTAAAGTCAAGCTCATCAGCTTTTGGTGACATTTGCCCATCCTGGCAAATCACTGAATAGGCCATTCATTTGGTGATTATATGTATGAGTATGTGAAGGGAACTGATTGTGTTCAGAAAAGTTACACTGGCATTTTCTTACCTTCTTATGATGTCTAAAAGTAGTTCTGACAGAGCAGATGTTTCAATATTGTTCCTCCATTTTTTCATTAGAAAATAAAAGAATATGCTTAGAGTTTTTGTTATAGTTGGTAGATACTGTCATAATGTCTTCACTGCAAAAAATATTTTCTTCTTCTTCTTTTTTTCTTACTCTTTTTGTCTTATTTTTTTGCCTTATTTTCCAGTTCGATCTATCTAAACATTCTTGAGAAGCAAAATTAAGCCTTGTTTTCTGAAAAAATGTCTCAAAATTAAGTGGGTTTATGCTTAAAACAAGAACAAATGTCTGCCAACAGGGTAGGAAATTTATTTGTCCTTGTTTTAAACAAAAATTAAATTTATACAGGTAATATAATAGGTAGTAAGTAAAATATCTTGATTTAGGAATGTTTAGATATGTGTTCTGGAAAACGAAACAAAAATAATTTTTGCACTGGGATTCAGAATTTAATATCTCAGTCAAGACAAGACTAAAATCATAATTTCTACCATTATATATAAATCTAAAGGATTTATAGATATTTTAAAGGTATTTGTGCTAAAACTGTCCTGCTAAAAAGACCAGCAAATGTTGTTTTGGATATTAATCCCCTGCATTTCTGCCCCCTTTTTCTTAAATAGCTTAACATCAACATCCCATCAAAATGAACCCTATTTACTTTTTGGCCATGATTCTTCATGGTATTCTAAACTTTTTTACTCTTGTTACAAATGTAACTCTCTTATTCTCTGTGGCCGTGAGAACTTTGTTCAGCCTAGTGTTATTTTAGCATTAGTATTTATTTGTTTGTTTGTTTGTAAGAGTTTTACTTATAGTTAATGTAATAACTCTGGTTCAGCATCCATATCATTCATAAACTATCTTAGAAATTCAAGCTGGCCCAACCTGGTCTTTTCAGCAGTGGCGTAAAAAAACATTCCATTATGTTCCCTTGAACAAGTCCACCATCCCTTTCATTTGTGATGTGGTTGACTTTCACAGATGCGTGTGAAAGGAACAGTTACTGACGTCCAGCTGAAGAAACTTCGTCCCAACACGGCCTTCAGAGTTTCCGTCTTCGCCCTGTTCGGCGATTTTGCCAGTGAACCTCTCTCTGATCGGGGGGTGACCCGTAGGTGGCACTAGGGCTTTCTTCCCCTCAGCAGGGATGTTTAGCACATCTATCTGATTCTCATCGTTTTTTTTTTCGTTTTTTTTTCTATATCTCTCCCTTATCTGTAGTGCCTATTCCTCCGTCCGGTGAGTTGAGGATCACAGACGTTACCCACAGCACCATGCAGCTGGACTGGGATCCATCGCCCGGTGCCGTTCGTAAATACATAATCACTTACAAGCCAGAGGATGGAGAGTCGAAGGAGGTAAAGTCAAGCTCATCAGCTTTTGGTGACATTTGCCCATCCTGGCAAATCACTGAATAGGCCATTCATTTGGTGATTATATGTATGAGTATGTGAAGGGAACTGATTGTGTTCAGAAAAGTTACACTGGCATTTTCTTACCTTCTTATGATGTCTAAAAGTAGTTTATAAGTGCAGCGCTGCTTGGCGTACGTTGGAAACTGGGGTAAACTGACACATGCTGTCAGAGATTTGCATTTTCATTCAGCCCATCTGCCGTTTTTGTTCAGACCAATTGTATATAACATACATAATCAGAAATGTGATGTTTATCCTTTCATAAAGCTGTCATAAACACAAACACATTTTGTGTTACTCGAACTGTAAAGTTGTTTCAGTCATAGTTTTTTAATGATTTTATGACACTTTACAAGTGTTACAGCAATGCTACCTAAACAACAGAATATCCTAATTGACTACAGCTGCTGATTCCAATAATTTTTCTAGAAAAATCACAGGTCTCTTTGAACATATAACCACTGAAAGCAGAAGGTTCTCAAAGGAAACACAATCACAAGCGGGGTTTTAGAGGTCTGATAGTAAAAGTAATTTGCACTTGTAATGTTTATGGTTTTTTGACAATCATATCACACCGGCCACAACGAAAAGCTCCGAGATGTGTTGAGTAGTGCTGCATTTGGGAATAATTGTGTGCACAGCTTATCAGCTGTTGAACAACAATCTTGTTTTCAAATGTGCAAAGCCTTCCTGGGTCACTGTGGAAGCCTTCCTGTGGAAAGATTCCTGTCTGTTTACACAATGCGTCCAGGCAGACAACCAAGAAAGAGACTCATGTTGATGAATTTGGGACCTTTTAACATATCAGCAATAACGTTACACAAGTCAGTGGAGACGGCAGCTGCCGAGAGAGTACAGCTGCTCTCCAGAGCTTCAGTTACGGCGATCATCTACCAAAGATTGCGAGAACAGACAGACGATAAAAAAAAATGGAGTTTTGAGTGGCACACAGCAATCCGGTGCTTTGGGATGTGTATTTTATGGGTGGGATTTTTTTCCTATGATTTTTTTCTTTTTGAACTCTCAGTGGCAGTTTTGGACTCAGCTTTTCTCCACATCCTGAAGTATTAATCATGACTCAGTTCTGCTCATAACTCTTCGTTCTGGGATGAAAAGATGAAACAAACATGCACACAAATGTGGGTCCAGGTGGATGGAAGCCTGAGAAGCCCGACAGATGGCGGCAGCTCCTGTTACCTGACACTGGATCAAAGATCAGGTCTAATTCTGCAGGAACTTAAAGTGATTTTATATGTATTGAGGCTTTGTTGTTTCTCTCAACGTCAACCCCTCTCTAGCACAAATGCATCACATGTTAGGGTGGCCATCCATCTGGTTTTAGGTAGGACAGTCTGGTTTTGAAATACCAGGTTTTGTTCCTGAATGATTCAGTGTTTTTGAATGAATTGGGCGAGTCAATGATTCAATAAGCCATTTATAAAGATAGCTGCATACTAGTATAGTGCTCTTACTATTTTTAGCATTTTTATAGCATAAATATGTATATGTATATCTAAATATATATATTTATATAGCATAAATCTTGCTGGATCTGTCCGCTGCTTTTGACACGGTTAACCACCAGATCCTCCTGTCAACCCTATTGGCAAAGGGCATCTCAGGAACCACACTCCAGTGGTTTGAGTCTTATCTCTCAGATAAGTCCTTCAAGATATCTTGGAGAGGTAAATAAAAAAACGTGCCCCTTTTAGACTTGCACTCTATTTATTTACTAACTGCTTGTTTTCTTAAAAAAAAAAACTTTTTTGCATTCTATTTGTTTTCTTTTTATTTATTTAACAATTATAATTCTGACTTTCTGACTTCTGATTAACAAAAGCAAAAAAGGCCTCTAACACTAGCTTGCTCTATTCTTTTTCTATTCTATCGGTTACGGAAGGAGACTCACACAGAGGATTAGAAAAATACAATGTTACTTTATTTTCAGCAAGTGAAGCAGAGGGTACGGGCAGGTGAGTATAAAGTAAGTTCGGAAGTCCTTTGGGAAGATGAGGAAAGATAACTCTAGTAATGGGGATTCCCAGGAGATCGTGGAAGTGAGACAGAGGATAGCACACACCTCAGACGATGAGTGACGGGGTATCCACGGAGCAAGGGACTGGAACGAACACTGGAGGAAACACTAGAGAAAACACAGGAGGTAAGTACAACTGGTAGGTAAGTCTTTCAATGACTCTCACGGATATCATAGAGAGAGAGAGTCCACTTCGTTGGAACGAGATCGGACACTGGAGTGGTGTGAGGTGTGTGCTTATGAATGGGAGCTGAGGGTGATTGTTGATCCGTGACAGGTGCGTGTGATCAGAACTCAGGTGATGGTGTTCGCTGTGATTGTGAGGTGGCTGAGCCTGGCCGATCTGAGACACTATCTGTTTTCTTTTTATTTATTATATGATTAAAAAAAAACCTTGCTACGTGTACTGCATTAAGCTAACTGAGACTTGTTATAGCACTTGCATATCATTGCTCTTTTGTTGATTTTGATTGCTTCCATTGTCTTCATTTGTAAGTCGCTTTGGATAAAAGCGTCTGCTAAATGTCTAAATATAAATGTAAATAGCAATAGAATAGAATGCTAAGAAGAGTAGAATGCTAATACTGTACATGGTTCTGATATCAGCTTGCTTCATTCCTGAATGAATCAGCTCTTTTGAACAAATCAGTTGAAAGTGACTCGCTCATTAAGGCTTGTCACCACCAACTGGTGGTTTTTGTTTCATATTTAAAGTATGATGTCATAGTTTTATATTCAATATACTTTATATTTAACACGTTCATCTCCTAACAGTATTTATGCAATTGTAACAGCAGTGTAAATGCATTTGTGGCATCTCTGAGCTGCATTAAACAGTCTGCGTAAATACATCTAAATGCCACTTCAGATGCAGCTTGTGTGCAAAGTGCAAAGATGGATTTTGTTCAATACATGAAATATGACGCATACATTTAAAACAAATTAAAAACAAAATAAAACTAAAAAGTAGGATTTACAACAATTACTCGGAAATTGTTAATAATTGCACAAATAATTATGAAGAAATGGCAAGTAACACAATGGATTAAACATGAAATTTTACAAGAAACAAACTGAAATCTGTGCACAATTTTATTTCCAACTTCAAAAATATAATATATTTATATTATATATTTATTTATATAATAATATATAATAAAGTAATATTTTTTTTTACAAGTAAGTGATTACAGGTGATCTGGATTACTTCAGATCCCAGTAACTAGATATTAAAATACTCATAATCAGATTACAGTTCCATTTTTATTGATTACATGATTGCATGTTATTAACACAATGGCAGTAAAGTGTTAATAATTTACTGATAAAAGAAATCTAAAAGTAATCAATAAGTAGTCAGATCACATTACCTAAATTGTGTAATCTAATAGATTATATTGCTGACTACACTTTACGCAGTGTCCTTTGGAATCAGTAAAAGATTCTAATTTGTAAGTAATCTACGAATCTGTCAACTAACTGCCAATGTTAACCAGCCAAACCTTGACCTCCTGATGCCGCCAAGTCTTTTTGCTGTGTATTGTGTGGCCATAACTGTATTTCTCATGTTTCAATTTAGCTTGAAGTTGACGGAGATGTAATGTCTAGAGGACTGGATAATCTCATTTCCCAAACGGAATACGATGTGGCTGTCACTCCTGTGTATGATTCTGGGACCGGAAACCCAATGCTTAACCAAGCCATTACAGGTAACGGGCATGGGGTCCATTATCTATGAATAACCTCTGTAAATTGAAATAACACTTGACTGCTAAATGTTTCAAGTGCTTAATTGTAACCTGAAACTCATTCTAGACGTTGTCCCTGCCCCGAAGAATTTGAGGTTCTCTCAAGTGACCCAGACCAGTTTCAGGGCTCACTGGGAGCACGGCGCTCCTGATGTCTCCCTCTACCGCGTCGGCTGGACCAAGAGTGGAGAGAACAACTTTCAATATGTAAGACATCATAGTTTAAACATGAGGTCTGCTTCATCAAGTTGATTTGACTTCAACTGTGTATTTACTCTCCTTCCCATAAAACATAAATATTACATGCATACATTACACTCAGAGGTATAAAGTAGTATAGAGTAATAGTACTGTTCTGGGAATATATATCTGTACTTGTACTCAGTTACATTCACAAAGTAAAAATAATAATTTTTACTCCATTGTAATTTCACGTAGAAAGTACAAAGTACAAAGTACACATCATATGAATTTTTCTAGTTATTTAAAAATAAAAATTGTATTTTTCTTTATCCTGATGTAGTTTTGAAAGACGAGGGTGAGAAAATGGTGACAAAAAGTTCATTTTTGTGTGAACTAGTCTTTTCAGACTCTGAAGTCTGAACTACAGTAATAAAATGTTTTATAATAATCATAATAACCATTGCTGTAGATAGATGAACTTGAGTCGAGTGTGAACACGGTTCATGATTAGGCTTGATTATTAAAAATCACTATTTCCAAATGTCAAACCACTGTACTATTATCGGCTGCTAATTTTAGCTGAAAGTTACAGGTAAAATGTTTAAGGGTACTGGGTCGACTTTAACATCTGCTGTGTCCTGGAGTTGTACATAATCAAAACAATGAGAAAATCATGATTTTTGGCAGGACAAATTTTTGAAAAATACTATAAATACTAAAAATGCCTCATAAATACCGAAATGAGAAAATCTCTTGTTTTCAAGTCAATTAAAAAAGCTAAGAATGTTTAAAAGTTAAAAGTGTTTAATTTCTTAACTTTTAAGTACAATTAAATGTGGATACTTAAAAAAAAAACACTTGGTGTTATTTTAGCATAATTGAGATACTGTTTTTTATTAACAATTTTATAAATATTGTAAATATATATATATATATATATATATATATATTTACAATATTTATAAAATTGTTAATAAAAAACAGTATCTCAATTATGCTAAAATAACACCAAGTGTTTTTTTTTTAAGTATCCACATTTAATTGTACTTAAAAGTTAAGAAATTAAACACTTTTAACTTTTAAACATTCTTAGCTTTTTTAATTGACTTGAAAACAAGAGATTTTCTCATTTCGGTATTTATGAGGCATTTTTAGTATTTATAGTATTTTTCAAAAATTTGTCCTGCCAAAAATCATGATTTTCTCATTGTTTTGATTATGTACAACTCCAGGACACAGCAGATGTTAAAGTCGACCCAGTACCCTTAAACATTTTACCTGTAACTTTCAGCTAAAATTAGCAGCCGATAATAGTACAGTGGTTTGACATTTGGAAATAGTGATTTTTAATAATCAAGCCTAATCATGAACCGTGTTCACACTCGACTCAAGTTCATCTATCTACAGCAATGGTTATTATGATTATTATAAAACATTTTATTACTGTAGTTCAGACTTCAGAGTCTGAAAAGACTAGTTCACACAAAAATGAACTTTTTGTCACCATTTTCTCACCCTCGTCTTTCAAAACTACATCAGGATAAAGAAAAATACAATTTTTATTTTTAAATAACTAGAAAAATTCATATGATGTGTACTTTGTACTTTGTACTTTCTACGTGAAATTACAATGGAGTAAAAATTATTATTTTTACTTTGTGAATGTAACTGAGTACAAGTACAGATATATATTCCCAGAACAGTACTATTACTCTATACTACTTTATACCTCTGAGTGTAATGTATGCATGTAATATTTATGTTTTATGGGAAGGAGAGTAAATACACAGTTGAAGTCAAATCAACTTGATGAAGCAGACCTCATGTTTAAACTATGATGTCTTACATATTGAAAGTTGTTCTCTCCACTCTTGGTCCAGCCGACGCGGTAGAGGGAGACATCAGGAGCGCCGTGCTCCCAGTGAGCCCTGAAACTGGTCTGGGTCACTTGAGAGAACCTCAAATTCTTCGGGGCAGGGACAACGTCTAGAATGAGTTTCAGGTTACAATTAAGCACTTGAAACATTTAGCAGTCAAGTGTTATTTCAATTTAATATTAAAATAATTAAAATACTCATAATCAGATTACAGTTCCATTTTTATTGATTGCATGATTGCATGTTATTAACACAATGGCAGTAAAGTGTTAATAATTTATTGATAAAAGAAATCTAAAAGTAATCAATAAGTAGTCAGATCACATTACCTAAATTGTGTAATCTAATAGATTATATTGCTGACTACACTTTACGCAGTGTCCTTTGGAATCAGTAAAAGATTCTAATTTGTAAGTAATCTACGAATCTGTCAACTAACTGCCAATGTTAACCAGCCAAACCTTGACCTCCTGATGCCGCCAAGTCTTTTTGCTGTGTATTGTGTGGCCATAACTGTATTTCTCATGTTTCAATTTAGCTTGAAGTTGACGGAGATGTAATGTCTAGAGGACTGGATAATCTCATTTCCCAAACGGAATACGATGTGGCTGTCACTCCTGTGTATGATTCTGGGACCGGAAACCCAATGCTTAACCAAGCCATTACAGGTAACGGGCATGGGGTCCATTATCTATGAATAACCTCTGTAAATTGAAATAACACTTGACTGCTAAATGTTTCAAGTGCTTAATTGTAACCTGAAACTCATTCTAGACGTTGTCCCTGCCCCGAAGAATTTGAGGTTCTCTCAAGTGACCCAGACCAGTTTCAGGGCTCACTGGGAGCACGGCGCTCCTGATGTCTCCCTCTACCGCGTCGGCTGGACCAAGAGTGGAGAGAACAACTTTCAATATGTAAGACATCATAGTTTAAACATGAGGTCTGCTTCATCAAGTTGATTTGACTTCAACTGTGTATTTACTCTCCTTCCCATAAAACATAAATATTACATGCATACGTTACACTCAGAGGTATAAAGTAGTATAGAGTAATAGTACTGTTCTGGGAATATATATCTGTACTTGTACTCAGTTACATTCACAAAGTAAAAATAATAATTTTTACTCCATTGTAATTTCACGTAGAAAGTACAAAGTACAAAGTACACATCATATGAATTTTTCTAGTTATTTAAAAATAAAAATTGTATTTTTCTTTATCCTGATGTAGTTTTGAAAGACGAGGGTGAGAAAATGGTGACAAAAAGTTCATTTTTGTGTGAACTAGTCTTTTCAGACTCTGAAGTCTGAACTACAGTAATAAAATGTTTTATAATAATCATAATAACCATTGCTGTAGATAGATGAACTTGAGTCGAGTGTGAACACGGTTCATGATTAGGCTTGATTATTAAAAATCACTATTTCCAAATGTCAAACCACTGTACTATTATCGGTTGCTAATTTTAGCTGAAAGTTACAGGTAAAATGTTTAAGGGTACTGGGTCGACTTTAACATCTGCTGTGTCCTGGAGTTGTACATAATCAAAACAATGAGAAAATCATGATTTTTGGCAGGACAAATTTTTGAAAAATACTATAAATACTAAAAATGCCTCATAAATACCGAAATGAGAAAATCTCTTGTTTTCAAGTCAATTAAAAAAGCTAAGAATGTTTAAAAGTTAAAAGTGTTTAATTTCTTAACTTTTAAGTACAATTAAATGTGGATACTTAAAAAAAAAACACTTGGTGTTATTTTAGCATAATTGAGATACTGTTTTTTATTAACAATTTTATAAATATTGTAAATATATATATATATATATATATATATATATTTACAATATTTATAAAATTGTTAATAAAAAACAGTATCTCAATTATGCTAAAATAACACCAAGTGTTTTTTTTTTAAGTATCCACATTTAAAGAATTTTATAGTATGTGTATAGTGCAACAGCAAATAACTTTTTTACATTTTAGAGAAGTCAAGTTGAGATACTGACAGGACCACATGGAGATGCCAAAAAAACCCTAAATCAATCGCCTGCTGACTGCATATATCTACTACAGTACACAATCCATTCCGTATAACTAAACACAGCAACATAAACATGACAAATCAAAACATTATTGTGAATGTGTGTGGAAACAATGTGAATGTACGGAAATGTCTGTGCCTGTGCATAAATACAATGTGCGATCAGTGCGTCAAGAGCAGTCATACACGCATTATTATAACGGACTCACGTGTGCTTACTGTACGACTCCTGTACGCCACCGCAATCGTCTTTACCTTGATTGCAGTCTTCATTTCACTTCACTTATATATATATAATGTATGTATGTATTTTATTTAATGTAATGAACTGTTTTTTTAAGTGCTCAGTAAATACTTTTGTAAAAAAGTAAAAAAAAAAATTAAAAAAAAAGACAATGTCTGTCCTGTAAATTTTTTACATAGTAACTTGTACTTTTAGTTTCTCAGTACTTTTTACACCCCTGCATGCAATAGTGATTGTTAGTGTCTGGCAATAGTAACTAGCAGTACTGTTATTTGTGTCTCAGTATTGGTAAATGTTAATTGCACATTTAACTGCTGTCCAGTATGTAGCTAATACCACTGTCTTCCTCAGGATATCCTGAGCAGCGAGGACACCACTCTCCTTCTGGAGAACCTGGAGCCAGACACCCTCTATGATGTTTCTGTCACTGCCATTTACCCCGATGAATCTGAGAGCGAAGATCTTCTGGGCAGCCAACGCACATGTAAGAAACCCCGAAATCCAAATTATAGACTTTTTCCATTTACTGCACTTTGGACACCACATGTGCATTTGACAAACTCTCACTCTTTCCCTCTCTACCCCGCTGACTGCAGTGTCCAAGGTTATTACACCCGGTGAGTGGTGTTTTTAAGATACATGACATTTAACATTTGGATTGCATATGGATATAAGGATGTGTTAGAACACAAACCTGAAATATCAAATGTTGTTTCTTATAGCTCCTAGTGGACCTCCTCAGAACCTCCAGGTGTTCAATGCGACTACCACCTCCCTCACCACCAAGTGGGATCACGCTCCTGGACGAGTGCAGAACTACAGGATCACCTACGTACCGGTTGCAGGAGGAAGATCACAGTCGGTAAAGAACATTTAAATTTGGACTGCTTCCCAATGTGATTTATTATAACAATGTTATGGACCCTGAAATAGTTTTGAACCAATGTCTGATCCAATGCAAAACAAATCTGTTGGTTTCATCTTGTGTAAACATGTATACAATTACCTAGCTAAAGACTCTTCATGCATTCACTATTAGCGATGTGACTAAAATGTAAGACTTTTACCCATTTTGGATAGATTAGTAAAATAAGAGAGTTGATGCTTGTGGGTAGTTGATGTCCGTGAGCATTTTTATCAACATTAAGAATATAAGATAAATAATTTATATCAATGTTCACAGTTTATCACCATTTTAATCACCCTTTTGGCTTTAACTAGTTTTAAATGTCATATGTGACAGAGTACTGATATTACATTTAGCCTTTTTAATTTTATTAGATAGTCAATTAATGAAGATGTAAAAACTGCATGCACATTGCCGTTCAAAACGTTTCGGTCAGTAAGATTTATACATTTATTTATTTGAAAGAAATGAATTATTTTACTTAGCATGGATGCATTAAATTCATCAAATGTGACAGTAAAGACATTTATAACATTTTTTTCTATTCATCAAAGAATCCTTAAAAAATCAGGGTATCCACAAAAATATGAAGCAGCACAACTGTTTTCAACACTGATAATAATAATCATGTTTCTTGATTATTAGAATGATTTCTGAAGGATCACGTGATGCTGAAGACTGATGCTGAAAATTCAGCTTTGCATCACAGGAATAAATTACATATAAATTAAAGTATATTCAAATAGAAAACAGATCTTTTAAATTGTAATAATAAATCACAATATTGTTATTACCGTATTTTTGATCAAATAAATGCAGCCCTGGTGATCATACGAAAGTTCTTTCAAAAAATTCTTACTGACCCCAAACCTTTGAAAGATAACATAATATATTTCTGTTAACTTAGATCTGTAGTTTGCATTATGTCTTTAGATTAATGCCATCACTGTAAAGCACAGGAATATATTTAATCTAAACAATTTATTGTTTTATTGCCCTTATATTTCATATGAAGTGCCGCACTGGCTGGAAATATCTGAAAGTGCATTTAATATTCCCTACAGGTTGCTGTTTTTGGTTTAGCTGGTCCAACTAAGAGTGCAAATCTTAGGCGGTTTAAGATGTTTTTGTCTGCAGAATCAACTATCATCTTATTATTTTCCATGTTTTCATGGTATCTGAATGGGTGCAGAGGTGTTGTTTTTCTATATTTAAGTTATTGCAGTAACTTTTCCAGCTTCTGTTTTCTTCATCAAGAAGGCAGATTTACATTGGCAGCAGTCATAGGAATAACAGCATAAAACTAAACACTGAAAAACAGTCCTTTCTGCAATCGTACAGTATTTGTGATGTGTTGTTCCTGACATTATCCAGCACTGCTGAAAATTACTTAAGCTTATTTAAAGGAATCATTTGGGCTAAAAAAAACTCTGACAAGCTGTTGATTACCACAGAAAATTACTCATCCTTCTCTTTGTTGACAAAAAACAAAAATACAGTTTAGAGTAATAAAAATGCATGTAATGCATGTAGTGTGTA